CGTATAAGTGGATCAACATGGAAAGTATCATATTAAGTGAAATGAGTCAGAAAGAGAGGGAGAGACATAGAAAGATTGCACTCATCTGTGGAATATAAAGTAACAGAATGGGAGACTAACACCAAAGAATGGTAGAGATAAGGACCAGGAGGTTTACTCCACAGCTTGGCAGCTGGCCTCAAATGCTGGGGGAAAAGGTAGCTCAGATAAAAAAGGGAACACCAAGTAAAGGGTATTTGGAGGACCAGTGCAGGTCGGGAGATGTGACCGAATGTAGACTATAGATCAAACACAATGGACACTCAATGCCTCTAGTGCAAACTACAACACCCAAAGTAAAGAGAGAACAAAAAGGAATGCCCTGTCACAGAGGCACGGTGGGGAGTGGGGGTGGGATGGGGGTTGTGGGAGGGATATTGGGATCATTGGTGGTAGAGAATGGGTACTGGTGGAGGGATGCATACTCAATCATTGTATGACTGAAACTCAAGCATGAAAGTCTGTAAGTCTGTAACTGTACCCCACGGTGATTCACTAATAAAAAATTTTAAAGAAAGAAATCCCTTCCTGAATCCAACTTGCTGCCCCACATAGGGGGTCCTCTCTTGGCAAGAGTATTCATTCCTCCCTTTCCCATCCATTTGGGTGCCCCTCTTCTGTACATTGCTGTGGGAGTTTTGTTTGCTGGAATTTTGCATGAGTTCTGTGTAGAATGGCTTAGGGTTTCGTATAGATTTCGCACGATTGGGGGATGAGATAAACACAAGTTCTCCCTCGTTGAGCATCTTGGCTCTCCCACCCCTCCCCGATTGTGGGATTCGCATTTCCATGACGATCATGTCAAATAACAATTTTCTGTAGCTGTCAACAATTTCTATGTCTGCTTTGTATTAAATTTCCCTGGATCAAATTGTGTTAGATAATTCGCTTTCCTTACTAGTGAGCTGTGAGAAAAATATATTATCTATCTATACATATATATGTATAGACTTTTTGTTTGTTTTTATGTTGGGGGGGGCCACATCTAACAGTATTCAGTGACTATCCCTGGTTTTGGTGCTCAGGAGACCCTCTGTGATGCCAGGAATCAGATCCAGGGTGAGCCACACGCAAGGCAAGAACCCTAACTCCTGTAATATTTCTGTCCAGGTAATGATAGCTTAGGACACATACAATCTGAAGCATTTGTGTGTGTGCCTCATGTGTGTTCCAGGCTAAACCTCAGCATGGTTCTAGAGCATTGTTGTGTGTGACCCTGGAGCCCCCCAAACATCTCCAGTGTTGTTCGGGAGCTCCCTGGCACAGCAGGACCTGCAGGTGGCACTGGATGAGTATAACCGGAAGTGGCCTTGTGCCCCTGAGCGGCTCTTTCCAAGCCCCCCACTGAAGCAAACAAATTCGTTGCCAAGGAGATGCTTTTCCCCATCTTATTTTTGGAGTTTCACAGCTTCGGGCCTTTTCCTTAGTTCTTTAATCCATTTAGAGGTAATTTTTGTAAATTATGTAAAAAGGTGATTGTTTGCATTTTAACCATTGTGAATATTTGGTCTTCCCAACACAATTTATTGGAGACTTTCCTTTCCCTGTTTTGCTCGGTTGCTTTGTGGCCACAACAGACCGTGCTTACTCGGGGCTTACTCCTGCCTTGGAGCTCAGGGATCATTCCTGCTGGGTCTTCGGAGACAATCTGGGATGCTGGGATCCAGTTAGACACATGCAAGGCAAATACCCTACCTACTGTGCTATTACTCTGCTTTATTACTGTTTCCCCTTTGCCCAGTTTGAATTCCTAGTGCCCTGTTCAGATCCATGTTTGTCTTAAATACCTGAATTTATTTCTCTTTTGGTTTTGTGTTTGGGCCGTATCTGGCAATGCTCCGAAGTTACTCCTGATGCTGTACTCAGGATTTTCTCACAGTGATGCTTGAGGAGCAACATGGGATGCTGGTGATAGAACCAGGGTCAGTGGCCTGCAAGGCAAACACCCCACCTGCTCTACTCTCTCTCTAGTCCCTGCATCAGCTTATTTCTGGAGACTTTGTTTTGTTTTCATTTTGCTTCACCATTGATCTATGTGCCAGTTTCTATGCCAGTATCACACTCTTTAGATTGTTGTAACAATATAATAAATATATATTGAAATCGGGTATTGTGATGTCTGCGGTTGTATTGTTCTTAGAATGTTTTTTGGCTTTTTGAGTCACCTCTGGCAATGCTTAGGGATCCTCCTGGCTAAGCACTCAGGAATCACTCCTGGCAGTACTCAGGGGATCATGTGGGATGCCGGGGATAGAACCCGGGTCTGCTGCATATAAGACAAATGCCCTCCCTGCTGTATCACTGCTCTGACCCCTTGTTCTTGGAATTGATTTGGATCTTGGAGTATTTTGTGGTTCTATATATACTTCTAGAATTTTCTTTTTTACTTCTGTGAAAAATTACATTAACTTTGTCAGTTGCTTTGAGTAACATGGAAATTATCACAGTATTAAAGTCCAAACTTTAATGTCAGCTATATTTCCATTTGTTTATATTGTTTTCAATTTATTTTAACAGTATCTCATTGTTTTTAGCATAGAGGTCTTCCATATCCTTGGGTAAGCTTACTCTTAAGAATTTTTTGATTTTGATGTTATTATAAATGCTTTGTCATTTGAATTTGATTTTCAATTTTTTTGTGTGTAAAAATCTGGTAGTTTGAATACAGTTTTGTACCCTGAATTCATGCATTAGAATTTTCGGTTCAAATTTTTAGTGTTACTGAACATCATATCATTGGTAAACATGATATTTTTACTCCTTCACTTCGTACCTATGTGCTTACTCTTATCATTCATTTATTCATTTATTTATTTCATGAATCTGCTCTGTCTAGTTACTCCAGGCTTCATTGAATAAAATTGGTAGATGGAAGTGGACAAGTTTGTCTTGGTCCTCTTTGAAGAGGAAACACTCATGTTCTCAGCATTGAGGGTGATGGCAAGAACAGGCTTGCTGTGGACTTCCTTGTTGTGTTGAGCTACATTCCTTCAGAACCAATATTTTATATTATCACAAAAGGATATTCGGTTTTATCAAATGTTTTTTCCACATTTATTTAGTGGAGCAATAGCAAGAGCATTTAAATGATCATATGAATTTACTATTTCATCCTATTAATGTGGTATACCACATATATATTGACTTTATATGTTGAAACATTATATACTTGATCAGGTTATCTGATCTTTTTAAGGAGTTATTAAATTTAGTTTGCTAGTATTTGTTGCAACTTATGCACCTATGCTCCACCAGGATATTTGTCAGTAATTTTCTTCTCTTGTAGCACCCTTAGCTAGTGTTAGTTGCAGAGTAATGTGGACTTTCTAAAATGAGTTTGGAAGTGTTTCTCTTCAATTTTTTGATAAGTTTAAGGGGGATTGGCACTCATTAGTATTTAAATGGTAGAATTCATGCATTAAGTCATTTTGTCCCGAGCTTTTCTTTGATGGCAGATGTTTAATTACTAGTTATATCTCCTTACATGATAATTATCTCTCTATGTTCTATTCATGATTCAATGGGCCATGCATTTCTGTTCAGCAGGGCCAACAGGGGTACTCTTTCAGATGGGAGACTGGCTATTTGTATCTATTAAAGGATCGCACATTCTAGCTTCTATTTGAAACATCCTTGGCACACTCAACTCTTTTGCTAGTGGGGTAGCAGAACCCCACACAGTGTGCTGGTCACTACTTGGGGACATGGTCATAGTGTTTTGACCCTGGGAAGTGGCCTTTCAGAACCCCTGCAGTCAATATTCTGTTTGGTATGGAGCGTCTTAAAAGAGAGCCTGAGTATGGCCTATGTTTTAGTAGGGAAAAGAGATCATTTATTGGTTTCTTAAGAATACGTTGAAAGGGGTAAGTATGGAGAACAGAGATGGCACACCAGGGAAGGCATTCATCTAGCAGAGTCCACTTGGGTTTGATCTCCGGGCACCCTATATGACCCCTGAGCACAGAACCAAGAGTAAGCCCCAAGGACAAGGAAGGAAGGAAGGAAGGAAGGAAGGAAGGAAGGAAGGAAGGAAGGAAGGAAGGAAGGGAGGGAGGGAGGGAGGGAGGGAAAAGATGGAGGGAAGGAAGAGATGGATGGAGGGAGCAAGAGGGATTTCTCAGGCCATTCTTGATAGTCACCCCCTCCTGACCTCATTTCCTCCCTCTAGTCCCCCTGTCCTACTGGTTGGTACCCTGGTCTCATGCTGTGCCCATGTTCTGCTATTTGAACTTTCAATTCTCACCCAAGAAGTCCAAATAGGGGAACACAATGACGTGAAAGCATCCACTTTGGGATCATTGCTTGCACTCTGCCCCTTTCTCGACAGTTACTGTTGTCCACGGGGTTCATCTTGGCCAGTTTATTGACCTGGAAGATAAGAGTGATCACAGGGCCCATCTCATAGTATTGTTGTAAAGATGAAGTAATTTAAGACTGTTAAAGGCCTAGAAGAATGTTGAGCACAAAACAAAAGCTGTAGATGTGAAGCGACATCTTATTATTTAAACGAGACACTCATTTATTTGCATAAACTTCGAGTCCAAATTACTCTGAGAAGACTATGTTGGTATGCTGAAAGCAGATCTTCGTATAAACATATGCAAAATCCCTACACTGCTTCATGACGATGGAATGGGTCTGCCTGGGACTGCGGAAATAGTCAATAGTGTGGGGAACATCCTTTGCACCCAGGAAACCCAGGTTTGATCCTGGCACTGCATGATCCCCCAAGCACCTCTGAGACCTCTAACAACAACAAGCTGGAAGTAGCTCCTGAGCTCTGCGGGGTCTGGGCCCCAAACCAAGAATAAAACAGTGCTATGTGGTTCTGAGAAGGTGGGAGGTGCTGGTATGCCTTATTTTAGATGTGAGATGACAAGCTTGGCGAATTGAATTGGGAGCTATAGATGGAGCTCTGTCTACTGGGATGCTTACTGCCTAATTTTACTCTCTCTCTCCAGGAGAGTATGTCATCATGACTACCCACTTCCATCTCAAGAGAAAAATTGGCTACTTTGTGATCCAGACTTATTTGCCATGTATCATGACTGTCATTCTTTCACAAGTGTCTTTCTGGCTCAACCGGGAATCTGTTCCTGCCCGCACGGTCTTTGGTGAGTTTTGCTTTATGGGAAACTGGGAAGAAAACCCGAGGCCCATCTTAGTAGCTAATCATTGGCTCCTGCCCTTCAGATCACCGATTGCTTGACAAAGCAGTAGAATGGGTTGTCGCACTAAGGGGACTACAGACCTGGTGTCAGGCAGCCCTGCCTTAGGATCTGGGGTGGATCTGTCATGGAAGACAGGAAATCGTTGTGTTGGAAGACAACAGACAAGTGGTCCAGGGGCTCTTTCATCAGCCCCTTTTATTCTGCATGAGCCTCTCTGACTTGGCTGTTTTTTCACTAACCTTTTTGAAGGTATCAATTATTTGTTACACCGGAAGGGTTACAGCAAGTTTGAAGGGTTTTGCAATAGCACCTACAGTCAGGAAAATTTTTCTTAGTGTGAATTTACTGATGTCTGGCAGAGATTTGCATATCATTAGCACTTTTCCCTGGGAGACAGAAAGTGTATAAAACATTTACTGCCTCTTTTTTCCTACTGTAAGATGTTTAAGGAGATAAATGTTAATTAACTTCTGTAGTCTATGAAACTGTCTCCTGTGCAGTGGTGATGGTATTCACTTGGAATTACCCAGCACTGACGAAGGAGGGAAGCATTTTAAGCCAGGAAGAGGAGGAGACAGCTGGGGAGACACAGTGACCTGGAAAGTAAGAAGAAAGGAAAACCCAGGAGTGACATGAAAGAGAGGATACTTCCAGTAGAACGAAATAAGCAGGTGGATGAATGTTACCATCAGTTTAGGGATGGTGCAGGTAGAATCTGCCTGTTGGATGCAGTGCTGTGTCAGTGGCATAATGATCTTTAATGAATGGCTCCACACCAGCCAAGTGGAGGCAATCAGAATTTAGAGGCCATTTAAAAACTTTCCCCTTCAAAATCCTAAAAACTGAATAGGGCATAGAAAACATTCTTCTAAATGTCTGAGCTGCTAAGTAAGACTAAGCCGCTAAGTAAGAAATTACTCCGGGGCCCCAATAGGAGGAGGAAGTGAAAACTCAAGCATTATTCACAGTAACAGATACTGGTAGTAAAAGATGGGTGAATGAACTGCTAGTAGTTTTGGTAAAAAAAATCTCTGGGTTTAGGTTAAATAACAAATGCTCTAAGTCTGTGTGGTATCACTATTGTAGGCTAAAAGTGTCCTCAAAGCTTTGTATGTCCTAATCCCTAGAATTTATTAATTTTGCCTTAATGGCAAAAAAAGGATTTGCAGATTTGAACCAAATTAAGGATCGTGAGATCGAGCAATTATCCTGGATTATCTGGCTCATTTCTAAATGCAAGTACAATTGACCTTATAACTAGGAGACAAGGATATATAGAGCAAAGGGCAATGCAAAGAGAGAGATTATAGTGAAACCTGTGGGGAAAAGGAAAATATTCCTTTTCCTGGGTCCTGGACAAGAGTATGGTCTTTAAAGTCATAAAAAATAGACTATCAGGAAATTTCAACTGAAGAAAATAAACATTTTTTCAGCAACAACTAACTCATTATCATAAACATGCCATTAAAGGAAGTTCTTCAAGCAAATGGAGAATTATACCAGCAGGAAGGTTTAACTGCATGAAATGAAAATGAAAATTATAAGTCTGTGGGTTGTGCTAAAGTTAATGCTTAGTGATTATTGAATATATAAAACTATAAAAATCAGGGTTGGAGCAATACAGTAGCACAGCAGATAGGGTGCTTGCCTTGCACACGGTCAACCTGGATTCGATCTCTGGCACCCATACGGTTCCCTAAGCCTGCCAAGAGTGATCGCTGAGCACAGAGCCAGGAGTAACCCCTGAGTACCTCTAGGTGTAGCCCCCAAACCAAAATAAATAAAATTATGAAATAGGATCAGTGGATAGAAACGCACGCACATACACACATACACAAAAGAGAAGGCCATAGTATAATCTACGCAGGTTGTGGTAGACACCCATGAAATGAAAATATTCTAGGTCATTTTCCTTATCAAGGGAATGTATAAATATAGCAAGTAATATTTAGTGGGTTTAAAGTTTCATTGTCGTAGGTCAAGGTACATGGTGACTGAGACAACAATCAGGTTCTCAGTACACACATCTTACATTGTGATGCTGGACCCCCTCATTCTTTTCTTTTTTTTTTTTGGTTTTTGGGTCACACCCGGTGATGCACAGGGGTTATTCCTGGCTCTGCGCTCAGGAATTACCCCTGGCGGTGCTCAGTGGACCATATGGGATGCTGGGAATTGAACCCAGGTCAGCAGCGTGCAAGGCAAATGCCCTACCTGCTGTGCTATTGCTCCAGCCCCTGGACCCCCTCATTCTTTTTTATTTTCCTTTTTTTCCCTTTTTTTTTACTAGTGAAACACCATGACGTACAGTTGTAGATTTACAATTTTTTTGTGCTTGGGTTTCGATTATACAATGATCAGATACCCATCCCTCCACCAGTGCCCATTTTCCACCACCATGGATAATATCCCCCCCACCCCCATCCCCCCATCCCCCCTGCCTCTGTGGCAGGGCAATTCCCTGTGTTCTCTCTCTCCTTTTGGGTGTTATGGTCTGCAAAAGAGGCATTGAGTGGCAAACATGTTCAGTCCATAGTCTACTTTCGACATGCATCTCCCCTCCTGGGAGGATCCTCCAAACACCCTTTATTTGGTTATTTGGTGCTCCCTTCTCTATCTGAGCTGCCCTTTCCTCTAGAATGCCTGGCTGGCCACTAAGCTATGGAGTAATCCTCCTGGTGCTGATCTCAGCTATTCTTGGGTATTAATCTCATATTTTGTTACTTTATATTCCCCAGATGAATGCAATCTTTCTATGTCTATCCCTCTCTTTCTGACTCATTTCGCTTAGCATGATACTTTCCATGTTGTACCACTTGTATGTAAATTTCATGACTTCATCTTTTCTAAGAGCTACATAGTACTCCATTGTGTAGATGTACCAAAGTTTCTTTAACCAGTCATCTGTTCTTGGGCATTCAGGTTTCTTCCAGTTTCTGGCTATTGTAAAGAGTGCTGCAATGAACAAACAAGTGCAGATGTCACTTCGACTATACATTTTTGCCTCTCTGGGATATATTCCCAGGAGTGTGGACCCCCTCATTCTTATCTAGCACATTCTTCACTGTGACGGGCGAACAGGGCACACTTGACTGTGAGCTGGACGTGAGAATTAGTGTCACTGGAACCTACTTGTCTTTCTGATTGAACCGGAACCGGGTAAAGATCACCTAAGGTCCCTGCTCTCAGACCACTCCTGGTCTGGTGGGACAAACACGAGAATATCATGTTAGTGTGAGATATACTCAAAGGAGGGGAGATAGTGCAAAATGGGTCTCGAGAAGAGCGAAAAAGAGAAAGTGCCAGGGGCCAGCACAATAGCACAACAGGGAGGGTGTTTGCCTGGCACATGACCAACCAGGATTCAATCCTTGGCATCCCATATGGTTCCCTGAGCACCTCCAGGAGTAATTCTTTTTTTTAGGAGTAATTCTTTAGTGCAGAGTCAGGAATAACCCCTGAGCATCTCTAAGTGTGGCCCAAAACAAAAATTAGAAAAGAAAAACCCTGGGTAGCAGGTCTGACTAAATGGTTTCAAATGCCAAACATCTTTCTCATCCATTAAGTGTACCAAAGGCTTGATTGAAGGTCTTACCAGTTCTTACTTGCTAAAAGCTCTCCACAAGATAATCAAGCCCGTAGAAGTAAGAGCTATAAAAATCTCCACGAAAATGTGGCACATAATCACTTGTGCTGCAGATTTCTCTCCACCCACATATGTGAGCACTGTAGTAAGTGGGACAGGGCTGAGAACAAGGAACGGAAACTCATTTCTACGAGGAGGCCTAGCTTACTTCCTGTGGTGTGAGTTGCTGAATCGTGAGTCCATCCTCGCACATCAACAGCTCTGTTTGATCCCTGTCCAGGCTAAAGGGTGTCTAGCTAATCACCCTTAATGACCTTTTGCCTAGTTTGGGTAACAACAAGCTCCTTTGGAGGGTTTTTGTTTGTGTGTTTGGGGGGCCACTCTCATGATTCTCAGGGCTTACTTACTCCTGGTTCTGCACTCAGGAATAACTCCTGGCGGGCTCGAGGGACCATCAGGGATGCTGGATCTCAAGCCCAGGTTGGCTGCATGCAAGGCACACACCTTACCCACTGTACGATTGCTCCAGTCCCAACTCCTTTGGAATTTCTAAGTTGAGATTGTTAAGTCTTTTCCAGTCTGTACTTCCGTTCATATAGCAACTGTAAGGGGATCAATGACATGCCACCAGACAGGTGTCCCAAGGGCAGTATCCACGTCCTGAGTTGCTGTGTGGAGTCAGGCAGTGCTAGTCTCCCCTCATCGATTTGCTTTCCATGACATCTCTCACCCCTTCTTTCCATGACCTGAATGACTTGCTGAAGCAGTTAACTCGAATAAAGAGGTTCTCACTCTCCCCATTACTCAAGTTTAGATAGATGACTTTGGGTAAAATGGCGTTGTCCAAATTCTGGACAGAGAATGTTTAGGGAACATTCATAGATGGGAGAGGATGGAGGCACAGAGAGATTATGGAAATTGCCTAAGATACAAAGCACATCTGTGGTGAAACTCAAAATTTCTAGATCTAAGGCAGGTATTCAAGACTTGAACACTATTGTGAATAATAATTACAAAATTATTCTAAGTATTGTTAACATGTGATTGTAAGTGTACTACTACTTATGAAATTTGATGGTACTATTATGTACAATCAAATAATAGTAATATTAATTTTAGATGCTCCCATTTATTGAGGGATTAGTCTGTGACAGATATTAATTATACTGTATGAACTTTATGAATGTAATTTCATTGGATCTCCTAAGAAGTCTAAGTCTGATATTATCACACACACCTTTCACACATGATAAAGCTGAAGATTCATGGAGTAGAACACCTTATTCAAGATTCATAGTACTAGTAGGTGGGCTTATTTTCAGTTGTTGTTTTTGATTTGGGTTTTTTTAAGGGGATCTCACCCAGAAGTGCTCGTGACTTACTCCGGGCAGCACTCAGGGTTCCATTGGATGCAGGGATTAAACCCACTTGGCTATATGCAAGGCAGGTGCCCTACCACTATCACTCCAGTCCCCTAAATGGGATTGGTTGAATTTAGGTCTCTTCAGCCTGTTTCTAATACTCATATTGTGTTTTTATTTGTTTTACCATGTTTAGGTTTTTCATTCATTTATTTTTTACTGAGATAGCATTGGTTTCCAAGAGTGCGAATGCTTATATGCTTTAGTAGTACCACACCACACCCCTGACCATAATGTCATTATCCCTCCATCACTGTCCCTAGGTCCCTTCTTGCCCACCCCTTTCCCCCACCTTCCGGCTTGGTAAGCTCAGAGTTGTCAGTCTTGGGGCTTGGGGCCCATTCAACGTTGTCTGTTGCCTTGCTTTCTTCCTTTACACAAATTAAATTGTTGGTAACTGTCTCTCCAGCAGGAGATAGACCTGCTCCCTCCAGGTTTGTCAGAGTTGTAGAAAAAGGGTAGATTTCATCTTTTCTAATAAGTCAGTAGTTTTCAGTTTTGTCTGTATGCCACAACTTCTTTATTTATTCATCTTCCACGTTGTGTTAGGTTGTTTCTGTCTCTAAAACGTAAATAGATTAGGGGAGAAAGCATTTCAATGCATAACTGAGTCTTAAAATTTCAGGCTAGGGGCTGGAGAGATAGCACAGCGGGTAGGGCGTTTGCCTTGCATGCAGCTGACCCAGGTTCGATTCCCAGCATTCCATATGGTCCCCTGAGCACCGCCAGGAGTAACTCCTGAGTGCAGATCCAGGAGTAACCCCTGTGCATTGCCAGGTGTGACCCAAAAAGCAAAAAAAAAGTTCAGGCTAATAAGATGACCAGGGCCAAGAAGTCAGTTCCTGGACTGGAGAGGTGGTTCAGTGGGCAAGTTGCATGGCTTGCACGTGGCTGGCACACGGCTGGCACAGCATATGGTCCCCTGAACCTTTCCAAGACTGATCCCGGAATATAAAGCCAGGAGTAAGTCCCAAGCACAACCCCGCACCCCTGACCCAAAGGCATCAGTTCATCGAGGACTAGGCTTTGTTTTAGCAAAAACTCAGAAGAAGTAGGTACTGGAATAGCTTTGTTTGTCTATGAAGTTCAATATGACAGAGATTGTGAGGCAATGAAGAACTTATTTCCCATGGTGACTGACTGTGTTACTAGACTAGTATCCAGTAGAGGGGAAGTGGAAGTGCCACGTAGCTCAGACTATGTCTTGAGCCTTGGGCTGAGCTCTAGATGGTTCAGAGGATTACTGCCAGCATGGCAAAGGGAGAAAATAACAAGAGAGAGAACTGTCATTTCCAACTGGCATGCCATTCTGGGGCTGAGCACATTCACAGGGACCCATTGGCCACCCTCTGAAGCCTGTCCCGAAGTGGAGGAAGCAGGCTTTCCTGGGGCCAGATCACAACGCACATTGCGCAGTACTCTAGGAGTTAAAAAGATGGCATGTTTCAGCTTGGAACATAGGTTTTTGCCATTTAAACACCATGTCACAATTAAATAGGTCATTTACTTTCCAATAGAAAATTTAGCAAAAGAGGACCAGCTTCAGAAGCTCAGGTATTTCTCTTCCTGCATTGGAGGATCACTTGAAGGGTGTCTGAGTACTGATATTCCCACTCCTGCCTTGATTGGGAGGATAACTAGCAAGAGCTAGTTTTCTTTGAATTTCTCTCTCTCTCTCCCTCTTTCTCTCTCTCTCCCTCTTTCTCTCTCTCTCCCTCCCTCCCTCTCTCCCTCTCCCTCTCCCTCTCCCTCTGTGTGTGTGTGTGAGAGAGAGAGAGAAAGGGCCCAGGGATAGCACTAAGGGATCAATCTCTTGCCTTGTATATCTGAGGCCCTGGCTTTGATCCCTGGCCCTGCCCCACCGATCAATATATAAATTGATATTAATAAAGAGATCATTTCAGTGTAGTATAGTCCCCTGGCTCAAGTAGGTGCTAGTGGCAACTAACTGTCATCTTCTCCCTCCCCAGGTGTCACCACTGTTCTCACCATGACGACCTTGAGTATCAGTGCCAGAAACTCCTTACCTAAGGTGGCATATGCGACGGCCATGGACTGGTTCATAGCCGTCTGTTATGCTTTCGTATTTTCTGCGCTGATCGAATTTGCCACTGTCAACTATTTCACTAAAAGGAGTTGGGCTTGGGAAGGAAAGAAGGTGCCGGAGGCCGTGGAGGTGAAGGTGAGCTACAGTAAGAGTGTTGCTGGGACACACTCCCTGAAAGAAATGTATTGGAGCCAGGAGTGAGTAGCCTACAGCCTGGGGGAACTGGCCCGGGGTGTGTGCTAGTCACTGGGGAAAGCAATCCGTTTCTTGATGGGAGTGTTTCTTAGCAGTGTGGAGTGTTTGCTGGGGAGCAAAGAAATGGGGGTGACTATCATGGAGGCTTGATTGATCTCCTGTGGAAAGGGACCAAACCTAGAGGCTTAGGTCCTCAAGTTTGCTTGGCCTACTGCCGCTTTTTTGTGAAAAAGTCATACACACACACACACATACACACACATATATATATACACATATGTATGTACATATATACACATATAGCACTGTAGTACTGTCCTCCTTGTTCATCGATTTGCTCGAGTGGGCACCAGTAACGTCTCCATTGTGAGATTTGTTGTTACTGTTTTTGGAATATCGAATATGCCACGGGGAGCTTGTCAGGCTCTGCCGTGTAGGCGGAATTCTCTCGGTAGCTTGCTGGGCTCTCCGAGAGGGATGGAGGAATCGAACCCAGGTCGGCCATGTGCAAGGCAAACACCCTACCTGCTGTGCTATAGCTCCAGCCCATACACATATATGTGTATATATATATATATATATATATATATATATATATAATCTTCCTGGAAATCTACCTTCTTAAAGTCAAAAAAAAGCAGAACAATCCCCACCGAGTTTTATCAAGGCTGCTACCCTCTGGAGTGTTCCCGCACCCCCTGAGGAACACTGCTAGACACAGGAGGAAGGTTCCGACTCTGCCTCCAGTCCAGAACAATGTGGAAGGCCATCCCTACCCTCACTTTTCAGTGTGCCCATTTACAGTCAAAGCAGAAAGATTATCAATCTTCCTTCTGTATCTTTACTTTTATTTTTCCTCTCTGCTTGATATGTTATTCTTTTTTCCCTCCCTGGGAATATATCTACTCATTCATCAAGACCCAGATGATTCCCTTGGCATTGGAATACAGAATCAATCACAAAGTAAGCGGTGGTGTGTGTGTGTGTGTGTGTGGTGAGGGGGGGGGGTGGACAGTGGTGCAAGATTCGTGGCTACTTTGATGATGGTAAGTGCTGTAACTTTGTATATCAATACCCTAAACTCTTCTTTTACTACCTGAACTCTAATAGATTTTTTAAAAAATAATTGTAACCACAAAAAGGGACCTAGATGAAATATTGTTTTCTCCACCAAGTTGTTTCAGAATCACCAAGAGAACTTTCATGTTTTGTGGCATTAAAAGAATTTATTTGTATTCGAGTTAGTTGTCTGCCTCTCACTACAGGAACTAGATGAGAGTAAGGGCTTTTGTGAGCATCAGCTAATGAGCCACCATCCTTCGGCAGTTTCTGCCTCCGAGTAAAAGATAAACGAATGTAAGTTATATTGGCTGATGGATGGAGGAAAGAAAACCAAAGAGAGAAGAAACAAGCAACTGGAGTTCATTCATAGGAATCAAATAGTGAAATCAAGATCATCTTGACTGTTTTAAAAGAATTCAGATCTCTAGACCTTAGCAACAATGTTAAAAATAGCTGACACTTGTGATGCCAGAACCACTCCAGTAATATTCCTTGAGAAATCACAGGGAAGATAAAAGATAATGGAGTTTTTCAAGCTGGAAAAACAGATAGTATTCTCTAGAAGATTGACTGCAAGTTGACAACATTTTACACTGGATTTAACTAATTAGAATTGATGCAGTTCTTGCTGCAAACTGTGAAGAAATAATTGCATTTATTCTTCCTCTGTTGACTCCTCTTATAGTTGTGATTCTGCTTCTAAACAGCAAGGAATTTTTCTCGCTCATAGAGCTCTCTGTGGTGCAACTGTACGTGTGTGTGTGTGTGTGTGTGTGTGATTACATCCTTTAGTTTGTCCAGTCTCTACCATCTCTGCCATTGTACCATGTTCCAGTACAGTTTTGCTACCAGTCTGAGAACTAATTTCCTTCTTTGAAAAGAGGGGTCATTTGTTTCTTTACTCGGGCTATGTCATGCACCGTTTAAGAGTCTTTTCTTGTCTGAAATCTAGATCTACAAGCATCCCCAGTGTCTTTTTGAACTGGATGCAACTTTTACTATATCTGGCAGTCCTTTACTTTTGTCTTCAAATTTAAACATGCCTTCAAATTTCAGTAAAAAATTTATTTTCTATAGAGATGATTAGTTTCTATCTCTATTTTCCTTGTAATTTTTTGGTTGGTTCCAGAGAGGAGAAGGAAGCAAAAATGTCCTTATTCTAACATATGCAATTGAAAAGACCCAAGAATATATTGTTAAACAGATGTCTTATGAGTAATGAGCATAAATCACTTCTATCCAGCCTGAGTTCGCAAGAAGAAAATATGCCAAATGAAACTTGAAAAAATTATGAAGAAATTTCTAAACTGGTAAAATAGGAAACTTCATATTTTACCAAGACATCTAACTTTTAAATTATGCCTTCATGAAGATAAATAGCAGCTGAAACTATTACAACTAGGCTGATGTATTTGAATGACCAATTAAAATCATATACATTGATGAACCAACAAAAATGTGAATAGAAGTCCCCATGACAACGGTCAAGGCTTCATCTTTCAACCTTCCCTCTTAAACGTTGTCATCAGTGACTCAAATGAAGAAATATAAGCTAGTAGGTTCAATTTGCAGGCTGGGATGAATGAATGGCAATGGAAATGCGTATCTGAAGTGTGAAAAACTGTTGAGATCCAAAGAATAAAGCACACCGGGATGACTAGGGGGATTGGTTCTAAATGTGTAGCCAGAGCCTGAAGCTTGCCTACATGTGACGTGTCTGCAGCGAAACACAGACTTCTCCAAGACAGTAGGTAGATGGCCCATTTGGAAAGAAGCCCAATGCCTCCAGGAAACACATTTTTTTTACATAATAAGGTTATGGAACCTTCCAGAAGATGGAACCTTCCAGAAGATGCCTGTTTCCCACTGACCTCACATCAGAGTCTACCAATCAAAACTCCACTAGGTGACAATCTATATTGTCAGGCGACGTTGGGGCTACTAAGAGCTGGCAAAGCAAACTTGGAAATGAGAAAAAAGCAAGGAAGGAAATGAACTAATATGAGATTTTCCGTGCGTTTATTTTAGGCTACACCCAGTAATATTCAGGACTTACTATTGGCTCTGTATTTGGACCACTCACTCCTGACAGGGCTCAGGGGGTGAAACTTTGTCAGCTGCATGTGAAACAAGTGCTTACCTCCATGGAACCACCTCTCTAGCCCCTAATGCAAAGCATTTTTTTTCACAAATGAAAAGGCAAGTCTCTCCAAATTGAAAATGTCATTATAGAACCACATAAAGGCACACCATCATAAAATTTCAGAAAACCAAGGAAAAAGTGATAGACTAAGAAGTTTCTAGAAAGAAATATTATCTCCAGAGGAAAACAAATTAGCTGACTGGCATGAAACTTGTCAACTGCAATGGATTCCAGAAGATAGGGTAGGAAGGCATACAATGTTCCAGTACCAGTCAGTCCTTTTACCATTTTCATTCATTCATTCATCATCCTGTTATTCGTTGATTGCCTCGAGCAGGCCCCAGTAATGTCTCTTTCATCCTAGCCCTGAGATTCTATTCAAGGCTCTTTAGGAGAATGAGGCCCATCATTGTTACTGGTATTTGGCATATTGGGTACGCCACGGGGAGTTTGCCAGACTCTGCCCTGTGGGCAGGCTACATTCGATAGCCTGCAAATTTGTCCAAAGTAGGAATGAGATAATAAGATGTCATAAAAAGATGTCCTGATAAGATGTCGCGCGGCCGCAAATGCGGCCACGCAGTTCCGGGAGCTGGATTTTATAGTCTCTGAGTCTTGGCCGTTGATGGGATTACACCTTTTACCAGTGCCCACTATTCACCACCAAAGTTCCCAATTTACCTTCCACCTCCACCATGGTCCTATCTTCCCTGTCCTATCCCTTTCCTGTCCTATCTCTCCCACCTCTACCCCAGTAGCAGGCTTGCTACAAAAGACCAGTTTTCCTGCTCTTGTTTCCATTGCCTTTGGGCATTTGATATTCCCCTACAAAGTTTCATTATATCCCACATATGAGAGAGATTATTATGAGACTCTCCCTCTCCCTCTGGCTGATTTCACTCAACATGATACTCTACAGGTTCATCCGTGTAACAGCAAGTTGCATGACTTTATCTTTTCTTGTGGCCAAATAGTATTCAATGTGTATATGTACTATAGGGTTTTTTGGGTCTGGTCACCAGTTCTTTGACATTTGGCTATTGTTGCAATGCACATAGGAGTGCAGATGTCTTCTGGACTCTGCTTTGAACCCTTTGCAGTATACTCCCGGCAGTGAAATTACTGGGTCATATGGAAGTTCAATTCCTACCTATTTTTGAGGAATGTCCATATTGTCTTCCCAAAAGGATGGACATGTGGGACATTCCCACCAGCAGTGAATGCGTCTCCCTTTATTCCTACATCCACGCCAACACTGCTTTGTGTTGTTCTTTTAAATGTGTGCCTGTCTCTGTGGTTGTGAGGTGATACTTCATTGTTGTTTTGATTTGCATCTCCCTGATGATTCATGATAGAGAGCATTTTTATATGCCTTTTAGTCATTTGTGGTTCTTTGAGGAAGTTTATTAATCTCTTCTTCCCAGTTTTTGATAGGATTGGAGTTCTTTTCTTGTAGATTTCTACTAGTGCTATGTATATCTTGGATATTAACCCTTTATTTATTTTATTTATTTACTTATTTATTTTTGCTTTTTTGGGTCACACCCAGCGATGCACAGGGGTTCCTCCTGGCTCTGCACTCAGAAATTACTCCTGTCGGTGCTCAGGGGACCATATGGGATACTGGGATACTGCGTGCAAGACAAATGCCCTACCTGCTGTGCTATCGCTCCAGCCCCAATATTAACCCTTTATCGAATGAGTGGTGAACAAATAATTCCTCCCAGTCTTTGGA